GAGATAAGGTAGCTTTAATCTCAGATATATCGTTAGTGTGTTGGTCTAGAACCTGTTGAGTACTTTGAAGTAATGAGGATTGCATTTCCAAGTGGTGTTCCAAGTCACCAGCGTCGTTCAGTCGAGGACCGCGTCTCCAGCGGAGACATGGCCGGAGAGATGGCTCTGATACCTTGATAGAGGAAGAAGAGAATAAAGACGAAAAGAGAGGCTGATTTCATTCACACCCTCCACTGTACCCTAGATTCTCTATTTATAGAAGAATATACCCAAATACCCAAGTTACCCTTTTATACCTAATTTCCCTAATTATCCCCTTTTTATTGCTAACTCCCATATTCCCACGTATCAATTGGCTATTGACCAGAGCTCTAAGAGACTCCCATACACCACCATGCATTGCAACAACACAAGTTTCTTTCTTTATGCATTGGCACATGATGACATGCACATAGAGAAAAGGCAGGGGAAAAACACTTACTGACCTTTGGAGGTAAGGACTCTCTGTGCCTTACCAGTTGCTTGCATCACCTAGGGCACAGAACCCTAGATAATTGGAATCCCTTATCCCACTCTTCTCCTTTTCGGGTGCTTGAACCCTTCCAATATGCCTGCTGTCCTTTTACCTTCAGTACCATTCCTGGCCCCAGGGCCTATTTCTTCTATGAACTTGACCCATTTATTGACTGGGGCTCGTCATGGAGTGATTCTTTGCAATGAATTTCTAAATTGTTTCATGTAGTTTTTATGTTGTATCCATGCAGAAGCTCTTAACGGGTCTCATTGTGACCATGTGTTTGCTTTTTGGAAACTATTTTCTGGAATATATAGGGATAGAGCATATGATCATTCTTCCTAATGTTGAAATAAGTTGAGGAAGGTTGGAGAGAAGAGCCAAAACTCAAAGATTCAACAACTGTAACAACTAGAATTGGAAATTAGGAAATTGTTTGAGACAGAATGGATCAATTGGTCATTGCCTTTTATTTAACCTTCATCAGTTTAGCTGTCATTTTGTCATATCTTATTAGAATGTTATTTAACTTGATTGCTTTTCAGGATTAAACTCATTTATATCTCGACTTTCTACCATTTACAAGAAGACCGCTTCTATTAGTCATTGACAGTGAAAGCAGTGAGGCATTCAAGGAAGAATTACCTCTATTTTAGTATGCATAATGAACTTTAGGAATATGACATATGCTGGTGTAGAAACGCTAGCTTTACGCATAAATTAGGTGGGATGTAGGGGACATGGTGATTTTACACACACATACACTATCCATGTATTAATTAAAGCATTGTGCATAAAGAGGTGAGACTGATTTTTAAACACATAATTTATATATTCATTATAAGCTTGATGTGGAATACATGATGGCACTGGTTTAAACCCTGTAAAGAGTTATAAAATTAATTATTCGATGTTAAATTGCAACACACTATCATCACTGATTTTGGGTCTGTTATCATGCGGATATTTTATTGCATACATGAAGTTTTGACGGTCTTTAATCAGAGGCAATGGGAAAGGTAAAATTGCTTGTCTAGGTGAAGTCTTAAGTACTTTTGAAAATAGTCTTGAATAGAAGAAACATCAAATTGGGGGCTAGGTATAGTGTTCATAAATCATAATTGTATGTTCTTTCTCATTCAAACAAGCTGGATTAAGAAAGAAACATTGCATTGGGGGCTAGGTCTCTACGTCAAGTGTTCATATATCATGATCGTTTCCTTCTCATCCTAATATCAAGTTGGATTCATTTAGAACATTTGAAAATTGATTGGTCAGAGTCCAATTGCAGGCCATAGCTGGAAAGAGAAAGGAGAGTCAGTTGCTATGCTCCTTTCCTAGTTGTTTACCCCCAATTGCTTCTGCTGATTGGTCACGATATATACATGGGAGAGCCTGTTCACCATGTTTCTGCAGCTCCACTGCAAGCTTTCTGTCTGCTGCTTGGTCTTTCAGGCAATGAATATTGATATGGTGCTTAAAAAATGACCTTATTTTTTTTCATTTTACTATTTTTGGAGGTAGAAATTCTCCTCTCTGGGGGGGTCTCTTATGGAGTTCAATTTCCTTGTCAGGACACATACAACAAAGCTGAGAAGCTGCTTTCATCATTATTAAACGACTGGGGACTGGCTTTGGCAACAAGAGACATGCTTAATCCTGTTTGGGGACAGATTTTAGGTGATCCCTTCATAGGCGACTTCTTTTAAGGTATGAGAGGCCTTCCTTACGTTTCCTCTTATTTTATTTGTTTTGGGAATGAACGCTGTTGAACTGCATTATTTTTGACAAAGTATTGTTTATTGTTTGGAATAAATGCTTTGTTGAGCTCCATTTTTTTTTTTAACTATAAGCATAATCTTCTTATTATGCTGGTCGCTATTCATTGTACTTCATGATTAATGTCAGTTGATTGATGATTGATTTGTGGTTTGGAGAGTGAAAGAGCTTACTGTTTTGCTAACTTCTCTTCATTCTCATGCCAAGCTACGTCTTTAGTCAGTGGGAAACCTCTTCTAACTGAAATCCTACTTCTGGATCTGTTTACAAAACTTCTGGACATCATCGTTGATCACTTTGAGGGATAAAAGCCTCATCGTTGATCACTTCTGCACTTAGAGCTGCTTGACATTGATATTAAGCATCTCCAGATCCCTGGACAGCCATGCTTATCTATATCTTGAAGTATTTGGCTTCATTGCTTGGCCAAAAGATTTGCTTTCTCCTCTAAGATTTTTCGCTAGCAATTCAGGAAGTAGCACCTGAACTATCTAGTGTTTGAGATCAAGTAATAATGATTTGTGATAGAGGAAGAAGAGAAATATAGATGAAAAGAGAGGCTGATTTCATTCACACCCTCCACTGTACTCTAGGTACTCTATTTATATAGAATATACCCAAATACCTAGATTACCCTTTTATCCCTAATTTCTCTAATTATCCCTTTTTATTTCTAATTCCCATATTCCCACGTATCAATATACTCCCCCCTAAAAGAGATCCTTGTCCTCAAGGATTAGTACAAAGATGAAAAGTTAAAACCTATATCTAATATACGACTTGTTCTAGTGCCATCTTCTCTTGAGTGTTTGCAAATATCTCTGCTCTGTCTTCAACAATTAAGGAAAAGACCTGTGAATCTTGGCAACCGCGTGCACTGTTGTATTTGTCATCACACCAATAACACAAGCCCTTATGCCTTCGATCGTCCATTTCACTCTTTGAAAGTTGTTTTGAGGCCTAGAGGATGCCGAACTAGAGGTGCTGAAGGATGGGGTCTGTTTGAACTTATCTGCTAATGGGCTCGTGGTGGATATGGGCTTAGTAACTGGGTCATTAGTGGGACCTGGAACCTGATCATAATGGAGAAGGCAAACGAGAAGACCCAGATGAGTAGAACGAAGAGAACCCAGAGGAAGGCATGTGAGTTGGCGGCGTAGAAGGCGGAGCGTGGTCATGAATCGCTTTAATGGTAGCAAGTTGTCGTCTAGCCATCTTCATTGCACTGGCCAGTGTTGTTGGTTGGAGACTAAGGACGCCCTGTTGCGCGTCATTGCACAAGCCTCCGATGAAGCAATTTATGGCTGTTGCCTCTGACAAGTCAACTTTAGTAAGCAACTCATCAAATTTCTCCTCATATTCTTCAACAAAGTCTTGCATCTGCAGTTTTATATCCCCAAATTTGGTTTCCATTTCAATGAAAGTAGTCTTCCCAAGATATCTCATCTAAATGCCTCTATTTAGTGAAGGCTAAGTGCTAATGCAGGGCACGTTCTCCAAGTGGATGCTAAGAAGACGAATACGCTGGTCACGGGTGTTCTATCCATGTCAAAAATAGGCAACAGCGGTAAGCCCATCCTCAGAAATTATTGCTATCAAATTTGGGGAATGCGACTCTACTACTCTTGGTAGGAACAGAGTTTGAGTTGGGTGGTGTGGGAAGGAGACCTTGGAAGGACCCAAACTGAGGTGGTGGTGTGAAAATGGGGGGAGCGGGTGTTGAGGCAGAAGGGGTTGCTGGTCGAGAGATAGGGGGTGGTGGTGGGATTGCTATTGGGGGTGGAGGGACAGAGGTTGTAAGTCGAGGGAGAGCGACGGAGGGTGCTTGGGAAGGTGGCTAGGAGGGTTCACCGACTTGAAGTGGAGGGGAATGCAATGGTTGATTGGCTAGCATAGTAAGCTTATCAGAAATCTCCTTCATAAACTAAGATAAGGTAGTTTTAATCTCAGATATATCGTTAGTGTGTTGGTCTAGAACCTGTTGAGTACTTTGAAGTAATGAGGATTGCATTTCCAAGTGGTGTTCCAAGTCGCCAGCGCGTTCAGTCGAGGACTGCGTCTCCAGCGGAGACATGGCCGGAGAGATGGCTTTGATACCTTGATAGAGGAAGAAGAGAAATATAGACGAAAAGAGGCTGATTTCATTCACACCCCCACTGTACACTAGAATACTCTATTTATATAAATATACCCAAATACTCGGATTACCCTTTTTTCCCCTAATTTCCTTAATTACCCCTTTTTATTTCTAATTCCCATATTCCCACATTTCAATTTGTAATTTGAAATCCTATTTGCTTTAAGCTATATGAATCACTGGAGGAATCAAAAGGTAAACAGAATCGCAGATAAATTGCTGGAATACATTCCATAAATAGCAAATTGTATGATTTTCAATTTTTCATATTTTCAAGCAGCAAATAACTAATTACTCTGGAATCTCAAGTTTGCTCATGAATGACCCAATGTTGCAATTCTGACGGAAAACTTATTTGACTCCTTACTTGCTAATCTATTTTTTAATTTCAAGACTAAAATGCTGTGTTCCGTAACATGAAGTTTAAACACTTCAAATCCTGCTAGAAGATTTAGGACCAGTTTGTTGAAAAAAAAGAAAAAAATTATTTTGGTTAAGTTTAACGCTCGAGTTGTCCGGAGAAATTAAACTAATCATGAAGGTTTTGTTGGAAAAAAAAAAATTATCCATTTTTACTTCTTTTGATAAGTTATTACAAATAGCTTATCAAATAATGTGTTTTTTCCCCCAACAATCCCTCATGTGTTTAGTTTAAATTCGCATAACAACTTTCTCATGTTTAGTCCAATTAAATCACTTTTTTTAAAAAAAATCTTAAAACAAACTGGCTATTAGTTTACCCTTGAGGGAGATTATATGAATTTTTGTCAAGTGTCTTAGTTAATTTTTTATTTCACTTTCTATTTGGAGCAGATTCCTCTTTTGCCAGAGAGTGCTAACACTATATGCCCCGATCAACAATAAGAAGGAATTCCTTCCATTATGTGTCCCATCTCTTCCAACACCTGTCCTGCCTTCAGATTCTTCGTCACAGAGTGTAATTATGCAGTTAGCCAAGTTGTTTGGTGCCACTGAGAGATTCATATTCTCAGAGGAAACTGTTCTTCCTAAAAATGAGATGCCAACTCAATGAGGATCAGTTCTATGCAGATGCTTCAGATGTGTAATCTTATACAGCTTCGTTGTGTAGCTGCATCCATCATTATGGACTCTTATATTTGATCATGGGCGTTTGCTGGGAAAATAGTATTTAAGGTACAGGCTTGTTTGTGTTCCCTGAGTTTGAACAAGTATGTTTGGAATTTGTATTGGGTGTTTGTAAAACCATGAAGGTCCTCTTAAACACACTATACCCCAGAGAAGTGGCTTCTTTCCACTGCAGTGGGGAGAACACTACAAATTCGGACTGTCAAATTTAGATTTGATAGGTTTCTAAAGCACAGATTAATTTGTACTGTTAAAATTTGATCTAAATTGTTCAAATTTTTAGCGAAGGTGTAATGGAGAAACTGTAGTGGAGGGAAACGAGGTCTATTTGAGGAAAATGAAATTTTTTTTCTTTATTTTTTGGGACCAGCGGGGAAGATGGATGTTGCATGGATCTCCTAAGAATATTAGAAACCTACATGATCACTCGTAATTTTGAAGCGTACAAAATCCTCCCTTGTTAATAGAATTACGAGTTTTTGGATTTGTAAAAGCAATGATTCATAGTTCAATGGCTTAGATGGAGTTGAATTAGTGATGACTAAAATTTTACTTTTGGTTTGTATATTACAAATCACTTGCATCAACACACACACACACACGTTTGTATTGATGTATGGATGTAAGATAAATTTTGTAGTAATATTTACAATTAAAGTGAATAATTTCAGATTTTGAATTAATGCACGGGAAAATGTATCATAATGTATCATTTAATATGTTAAGCATGAAAAGTATCTTGCTAATTTTTGAAATTCGTCATCATCAAGTTATACATAAAACTGGCGTGACATAATATTCAAATTCAGACTATTTAAGCTTCAAATTGATCAATTATTGGTAATTAGCTTGAATAAACTAGTAAAGAAGTTAATTAGCTGATAGAAAATATGAGAAATATTATTTTAGAAAAAAAATATGTTGCTTTCGTGTTATTTAATAATTTTGTAAGTTTTTTTCTTGAGAAGGAAATCTTTATCTTTTTACTTTATTGATTTTATATTGGTAAGTTGTTAGGGTTTCTTTAAGGGAAAAGAAAAACAGACTAAACTTGCACTTGTAATGCATACTTGATGAATGAGAGAATATTTGATGGCGTTCAAATAGCTCTAACCCCCCCCCCCTCCATCTCTCTCATTCTGTCTCTCCCTCCTTTCCTCTGCTCTCCCTCTATGTTTCTATTTCTCTCCCTCCATTTGAATTTGTGCATCAATTTGATATCAAAGCTTGCTTCTGAGCATTCTTAGACTGTTTGACTTTGTGCAAATGCTTGTCATATCCCCAGTTTAATCAGAGGTTTCAAAAATGCTTTCAAAGAGGATCACATTACCGATCGAATCAATCTAAATCAAAACCTAAAATAACACACGGGAAAAGACAAATCAACAATTTAAATTGTCAACAACTCCAACCGAACACTTTGTAATTTCATTAGAACAAATTGCAACCATGACGAATGCCTGACCAGAAGAATCACTCTTCCAGCCAAACAAATCAATTGCCTCTTCACTAAAAAATAGATCAAATATTTTATTCAGGTCGCAAACGCAATCGCAATTATACAAGTTGGTAACATAAATGGACAGCTCCTGCAGAACAAACGGTACAACAGAGGAGTGAACAAAATTGTAGAATCTTGCACATCTAAATAAATCCCAGAATGTGAATTCTTAGTTTCAAACCGATGCCGTCTCTTTCAGAGACTGATCTTTTGATAATGTTTCCCAGTTAATCTGTCGGAGCATTTTAAATCTTTCATCCAGTGTAACGAATCCAACTTCTGGAGCCACAATACCAGTCACTCCTGCTTTATGGAGCAATATTATGCTAGCCCCCATGTCTTGGTCCATGAAGTTTTCCGGTCAATAAGAGTCGGAGAGGCATGAAAAGAGATTTTCCCTGAAAATTGCAAATGAACATAATTTCATTTATACTTGCTCGTGACCTCCCTTGTATTTCTTTCACACTTTCTACTGTTGTAATTAAACATGATAATTACTGTAACGGTAACTAGGATTATAAAATTATAAAATGCAATAGTTACTAGTTAATAGTTAATACTACCTCCATCCCACTTAAGACAATTTTGAAGGTGATTTGGTGTCCCAAAATACAAGACAATTTGACAAAAATAAGATTTCATTAAATATCCTTTTCCAATATTATCCTTCAACCATATACTCTCCCTCTAATGTTTCATTAGATGAAGGGTATTTTTTGGAATTTATATTTTTGTTTCGGAAAAAATAAAGTTACAAAATGTATTTAATAAGCTTTATTGGTATGTATAATTTTGCCTAAAATTGTCTTATAAAGTGGGATGGAGAGAGCACTTAGCAGTAACCTTTTAAAAGTTACTCCATCTAATCCTTAATTATTTGCTTGGTCTTTAATATAAGACACCTTATAAAACTTGATGAAGAAGCATTAATGAGTTGTTTTCAAAAATTCCCACATATCCAATAAGTTCATTTAGATGGCATGTTTGACTTTAATATTTAAAGGTAAGGTTATTAAATTTAATCAAGGGTAATTTGGGATTTCTATAATTTTTTTTTTAAATCAGGACTCTGAACTAATTTTAACCTTCTCAATCAGAATGATTTGATTAAAAATGTCTTATAAATAGGACTAAAAAGAGCATTAGCAAAGGTTGGTAGATGTTAGAAGTGCACATATCATGTTTCCAAAGAAGCTTAAGTAGATAATGAAATGAGGGGCATTGAAAAAGATGTTTTTGTAGGCTTTTTGGATCAGAATAGTCGAGTATCTCATAGCAATATGCGTAATATATACAGTGTACATGTATCAGTTATAAAGGAAAAAAAATAAAATCAGATCAAATCCCTTATTTACCCCCCCATATTCTTGGCTAATTACATCCCTATGAATGAGGAGTAATAAATAATAATTAATCTCTAATTTATCCTATTTCACACTTCCCCTTAAGTTGAATCATAGATGCTAATCATGTCCAACTTACTCATACAATTCTCAAATGCGGGTTTATGTAACCCCTTGGTCAACATATCTACTGTTTGAAAGTTTGTTAGGAGGAAAGTCAAACAAATAATCCCATGTACCTTCTCCTTGATAAAATGTCTATCAATCTCTACATGTTTTTGAACTCTCATGCTATACTGAGTTTAAACCCATAATTATGGCAGCCTTGTTGTCATAGTACAATTTCAGTGGTAGGTCTAACCTGACATGGATTTCTTCTAGCACCCTCTTTAATCATATTTCTTCCATTATACCTTGAGCTAAAGCCCTTAACTCAAATTCAGCACTACTTTTGGAGACAACTCTTTGCTTCTAACTCTTTCAAGTAACTAGATTTCCCCACACAAATGAAGAATAACCAAAAGTAGATCTTCTATTTGAATGATGTCCACCCCAATTAGCATTAGTGCATACTTCTATGGTTCTCCATTCTTGTTTTTGGAACAACAAGCCCTTACCAAGGGTGCCCTTTAAATAACTTAGGATCCTGTATGTCATGTCCATGTGTTTGTCCTTTGGCTCACACATATACTGACTAGCTAAACTCACTATGAAAGCTATATCAGGTCGTGTGGGAGAGGTAGATAAGTTTTTCGTACCAGCCTCTGATATCTCTCTTCATCAGCTGGTTTCTCTTTCTCCTCATCTTCTTCAACTAGTTCAGTTTCTTCATCGGAGTGTTATTCTGTTGTTCTAGATGCCTGCCTCTTCTTTGGAACAAAATAGGTCTTTCAACAGGTTTACACCCTAACATTCTTGTCTCTTTTAAGAGATCAAGTATGTATTTTCTTTGAGATACATATATTCCCTTCTTTGATTTTGCAACTTTCATTCCTAAGACGTATTTTAACTTTAAGGTCCTTGACCTTGAATTCTTTACTTAGTCCAATCTTGATTTTCATTATTTCCTCACTGTGCTCACCAAAGATAATTATATCATCAATATACACAATGAGAATACATCTCTTACCTCTCTCCAATTTGACAAACATGGCGTGATCTGATAGTGCTTGTTTGTAGCCCTGAGACTTTAGGACTTGTGAGAACCTATCAAACCACGCTTTAGGCCACTGTTTGAACCCATACAAGGATTTCTTTAGCCTACATACGTTATCACCTTTTCCTTTATCAAAGCTAAGTGACAAGGTCATATAAACTTCCTCTTTCAAATCTCCATTTAAAAAAGCATTCTTAATGTCCAGCTGGTGTAATGGCCAATCAAGAGTTGCTGCTATAAATAACAGCACCCTAATGGCCATAGGTGCAAAGGTTTCCTGATAGTTGATACCATATATCTGTGTGAATCCCCTAGCCACCAATCGAGCCTTCAATTTTTCGAGATTCCCATCTGCATTGTACTTTAAGGTGAACACCCACTTACAACTCACAAGCTTCTTGTTCGTTGGTTTATTCACAACTTCCCACCTCCCATTTTCTTCCAGTGCTTTCATTTCCTCCAAGACAGCTTCTCTCCATCCTGGGGATTTCAAGGCTTCTTGGATGTTATTCAAGATACCGACCTTATCAATGTTTTGCAATGAAGGCTTAATACTCAGGTGATAAGGATCCAAGTCAGTTGAGGAGACCTCTAATAACTTATCATCGTAGAAAGAAGAGGAAGATAGTTGAAACTGATGCTGTCATGCATGCTTTAAGGGATTTATCTGATTTAAATTAATTATTGCTGTTATTTTAATTGTTATTTGAATTGTTATTCTGTTTTAAGAATTAGTTGCCAAATAATAGGACCTCAAGGTTGTTAGGGAGGTTCCTACATAGTAGTTCCTAATTTTTAGGCTAGTATCTTGCATTATTTGAATCACTTAGTTGCACTCTTTTATTTTAAATATCCTAGCTCCCATACACAATAGGATAAGAATGAAGAAATAAACCCGTGACTCCTCTGGTGATTCTTCTACTTGGCTGTTAAGTTATTTAGAGTGAGATCCTTGCTCTAGCTAACTTAGTAGATTACTCTTCCTAATCCCTACTATTCTAAGTTCTTATCACCAGGAGATAAAGCTTCATATGTCACATGTTTCTGAATTGCGTGTTGTGTACAAACTGGGGGTTTCTTCTTGAGGGTAATGGGCATGTTCAAATCACTTTCTAATGCAATTGAATTCTCCCCTACATCATCATCTACAATTTTCGTGATATTCTCATTTCCCTTTGCAGAATCTTTCACCGAGTCTAAATAAGGGCCTGCCTTCAATATGAGAGGTGTAGTCCCTTACATCGCCCTTTGTTTGTATACTTTGAGCTCTTTCTCTGGGGCACTTATGTCCTCGTCCTCTACACCTGCATTTTCTTTTGCTTTTGGAATGAACAAAATAGACACAGGTTCAAGGAAAGATGAAAGAATGGGAACAAGAGAGTGAAATTCATTCCAGTTCTCCCCCTGAATTGAAGTAGTAGTATAGAAGGACTCATTTTTGGAGGTGACATCATGACTAACAAAGAGACGTTTGGAAAAAGGGACAAAACATTTATAACCTTTTTGAGAGAAAGAGTATCTAATAAACATACATTTTACAGCCCTAGGTTCAAGTTTGGATGTGGATTTAAGATGAACAAAGGCTAAACACCCAAATATTCATAATGGGAGGGGTTATGTAGGATAAGACCTTGCTTGGCATATGGTTGATAAGATAGGTGGCAGTTAGAATAGCATCACCCCAAAAAAAAATTTGGCATCTAAGTAGTAAACAAAGGCATGGGCAACTTTAAGTAAGTGTTTATTTTTCCGCTCGGAAATTCCATTTTGTTGAGGGCTATTTGCACAAGATATTTTATGAACTATGCCTCTTGCTTTCAAAAAATCACTCATTTTTGTTTAGGTATTCAGTGCCATTATCGGATTGAAGAATTTGTATTGAGGGGTGAAACTGATTGAAAATCATGCTATAGAATTCAATAAATATGGAGGTCACTTCAAATTTTTCTTTGAGTAAATATACCTAACATGCACAACTATGATCATCTATAAAGGTAACGAACCATTTAGCTTGAGTTCGGTTCGAAATACGCAAAGGGCCTCAAACATCACTATGAATAATCGAAAATGGTTTAGATGCTTTGCAATCAAAGCGCGAAAAAGAAGAAAGGTGATGTTTTGCCAATTCACAAGTGTTGCAATGAAAACTAGAAATTTTATTTGATGAAAATTGAGGAAACAAATGACTCAAATTCTGGACATTGGGATGACCCATTCTTTTATGCCATAACAAAATATCATTATTCTCAGAAGTGGACACAAGATTGCACCGAATTCGAGACCAAAGATTAATCATGGTTGATTCATCAAGGTAGAAGAGCCTGTCACATTCTTTAGTACTGCCAATCATCGTCCCCAATGATAAATCCTGAAAAATGCAATGGGTAGAAAAAAATGAGCACTACAATGGGCTTGCTCATTCAATTTGCTGATAGACAATAAGTTACAAGCTAGATATGGAACATGAAGTATTTGAATGTAATTGTAAAAATTTATGCTTCCCTTTCCAGCAATAGCAGAAGTTCCATTAGTAGTAACAATTTTTTCACGCCCACTGCATGGAAAATAAGATGGGAACAAAGTGGAGTTCGCAGTCATATGATCTAAGGCACCAAAATCAACAATCCATTGGGATTTATGAAAAGATACATTCAAAGCATAATTACTATTACCTTACTTAGCCACAGAAGCATTATGTATAGTCTAAGATGAAGCTTTTGATCATTGTAGATTATTTAACATCTCTAAGAGCTTAGTTAATTGGTCTCCATCGATAGTGGCCATAGAACTAGGTTTGTCTGAGGTATTGTCAGGAGTAGCTTGGTACCCACATGCCTTTCCTGTGCATGGTTTCCAGTCAGTAGGCTTCCCAAGGAGATCCCAACACTTGTGCTTTGCATTTCCAGCTTTCTTATAGTGATCACATGACACCTTCCCTTTTGTCTACTTCAATCCATCATCAAGACTTTTACTTGCCAAAGTAGAAGATTCAGAGGAAGAAGAAACTAAAGGAGAGTCATTAAGCATCACCTTTCGACAAGAAGCTTCTCTACGAACTTCAATAAAGGCATCACGAGTTAAGGGTAATGGAGAGCGAGCTAAGATTCTGCTGCGAACATCATCTAATGACTAATGAAGACCAGCCAAAAATTGAAACACCCACTCATCCTCAACATGTTTTTTGTACCTTGCAGCATCACAAGGATAACACCACTTCTCTTCTATGTTGAGATCAATCTCCTGCCACATTGCAACGAGTTCCAACCAGAACTCTGTGAGATCACGATCACCTTGTTTGATCTGCGAACTTCTTGTCTTCAGATCATATATTCTAGCACCATCCTCACCATCCGAATATGATTCTCAAACAACATCCTAGACATCTTTCACCATCGGTAAGAACATAAATGAGCATTGAACTTGTGAGGGCATGGCTATGATCAACCATGAAGCCACCATCGCATTTTCAGTCTCCCACTTCAACATGACCTTAACGTTAGACCTGTCTAGAGCAATAAAGGTACCGGTGATGAAGCCTAACACACCACAACCTGTGACAGCGAGTTTAATCACCTAGGCCCATTCATGGTAATTTTGCCCATTGAACTTTTCGGACACAATCAGAACAGAAGACCTATCGATGGCAAAGCTCAACCCGTGGGGAGCTCCACCTTGGGTGTGCAATGGAGGAATCTCAGCGCCGAGACCTATAGAAGAGGTTTTGGGGTTGCTAGACTTTGCTCTTTCCTCACGTTGAGCGTTGCGTTCTAAGTCATCCAGGTTAGAATTGCTGAGCTCTGATGCCACTTGCTAGGAATGAGGAGCGACTGCTTAGGAACAGGAAAAGAGGAGAGAAAGGCAAGAACAATGGAAAGACGTCGTATCTTAACTCAAAACCTCAAGGGTCAAGTTTATGGATCCTTCCTCTTTATTATATATTAGTTAATAAGTCCAACTTTATCCGATGTGAGACTTCCCACATCGTCTTATGTCCATTCACATTTGAATAAGATAACCCTAACAATCTCCCCCTCAAGTATGAGTCCACAAGCTTTACATATCAAAAACGCCCCAAACACCAAGTTCCATTGTTTTTTTTTTTAGGGCCAGCCCAATTTTCAGGCTTCAAACGGTGTGGTACACACAAGTCCCTATTACAATCAAGGCTAATCCCATTTTGCGCTTCAAACGTGTCTACAATAACTAGCTTACAGGTGCCAGGCAAAATCTGGCTTTGATACCATGTAGGCTTTTTGGATCAAAATAGTCAAGTATCTCATAGCAATATGTGTAATATATACAGTGTACATGTATCAGTTATAAAGGGAAAAAATAAAATCAGATCAAATCCCTTATTTACCCCCCATGTTCTTGGCTAATACATCCCTATAAATCAGGAGAAATAAATAATAATTAATCTCTAATTTATCCTATTTCACAGTTTTTATATCTTTTAATTTAAGTAAGAATACTGCAAAACAGACATTATTAAAAACATTTCAGTGACACGTGGATATATAATTTAGCTCACCTTGCGTTCAAGTGATTTGCCAAAACCCTTCACCCACTTCTGCCAGCCAGCATGACCTTCTTCAAGTGCGGCCATGACTTCACCACTATCATAGGCAGCCAAGAGGTTGGCTGAAAATTCAGAAAGCTTATCTTCTAAGATAGATTTAGCTTCATCACTGCAGGCCATATGTAAAAGGATGAGGTAACCTTGCTACAAACTGCAATGAGCTTAACAGTCAAAGCACTTATGGGTGGCACAGCCAAAAATTGACAAGTGCGTAACCAATCTTGGTTATTTTATCAGAGGTTGAGGTTAATGACAAACAGAAAAAGACAAAAGATTCCCTGAAAAGAATATAGACTTCACCTCTGTAAAGTAGAATGCAAGGGAAAAGATAGCAAGTTATTAAGTGCTTCGTCTGCATCAACTATCAAATCAATTCCATCCTTGAGTAGCTGGACCGCTTCCTGTAAGTTAAACATGTAACCAATATCATGTTGGTCAGCCATTTGGAGTAATGACATGCCTTCGGTGCACTAAACTGAATATAGTATTCCTCAAAATGAAAAAAAGCTCATGCTATCTATAACGGAAAATGAACCAGTCAAGTAAAGAGTCTCACATCAATGAAGGGCCCTGCAGATAGAGCTAGTATTCCTGAAGCCTTCCAGCGCTCTCCAATTAGATTAGTCAACTCTTCAGATGGAATGGCTCTTAAATGCTGACCATTCATCCATCTGTTTTTGAAAGATTATATCCATACACATAAGAATACAACGAAAAATTAGAAGACAATTAGTTAATTTGTTGTTTGAGGTTGCCAATAAAGAGTTAAGTGAAAATGAATGGTAGAATCATATATTTCCCCAGAATCCAAAACTCAAAACATATGAGTATCACACTTAAATGGCATTCAACCTAGATCCTCATGACATCATCAGGAATAAATGATGGAAATATGGATGGCACAAAATACAAATTAGTGTATAATAAGAAATTAAAGGGAACAAGATTTAAAACCCCATCCAGTAGGAAAAAAGGCAATTACCTTAACTTAGTGGAATCAAATATAGCACCACTTTTGTTAACACGCTCAATTGTGAATTTTTCAACTGACACATGAAATCAATCCCAAGTAATAAATTGTTTGAGCAGTAGTTTAGTACAACTAATACATGAGTATAATTCAAACAATTCACTAACCAAGTTTCTCGATGGTGAAAAATTCATCTTCCGTTCCATCACCCCAACCTAACAAGGCCAAGTAATTCACCATTGCTTGAGGTAGGTATCCCATCTCCCTGAACTGTGAGCAGATATTAGATTTTCACAAACATAATCCATATCATAGAAGAAGCTTTTGGAGAATAAACTAAGAAAATTAAGGAAACCAATCAACAGAGACCTCACAAATAATTGAATGCATATAAAATATGGAAATGATCAACACACCTGACCGACTGATGTTGCACCATGTCGTTTTGATAATTTACTACGATCAGGAGCTAGAATAAGAGAGACATGTGCAAAGTGAGGCATGCTGAATCCTAGTGCCTGCAAAAATCATTCATGCACAAATAAATTACACCCCGGTTAATTTCACATGTTATTCTAATGCTAGGACCTTCCACCATTTCTAATATTTTGGCGTCTAAAGCTGTGTGCTGTTTTATTTAAAAAAAAAACAAAAAAAAGATATCTTTGTATGATGCTGCAGTTTATTATTTCTGTTTAACTAGGCTTAATCTGTGTGGGGCGTAAAGTTTATTCTAAAAATTGCATGCAAATAGGGTAAAACAATAAATCTACAGTGCCTTCTGTGTTAATTATATACTCCCTCCACCCTATTTTATAAGATGTTTCTTGGAGTGATTTGATGTCCCAAAATATAATATGCTTTGACAAAAATTATGATTTGCTAATTGAGCTCATTCCAAAATTACCCCTCATTATTTCACTCCTTAAATATATTTCTTTCTCTCTCCCATACCAAATAAATGGTAGTTTTGAAAGTTTATATTTTTTTTGGGACAAATTAAGATTCCAAACTAAATTTGATTGACTTTATTGGTATTTGCAATTTTATCAAAAAAAAAATCTCAGTAAATGAGGCAGAGGGAGTATGTATTTTGGTTCTGTTTAATGCAGGATTTCTTGTTTTTTGGCAACTATCAGTTTGCAAGCCATCTTACAGGAAGAGTTATGAATAAATTAGAAATATTTTTGCCTCTTGACAGTGTAACCAATTTAAGAATTTTGACTTCAGATTTTGCTGGTGTATATTCTAGTAAATCTTGCTTTCATTTCATTGTCCCTGTTATGAATAAATTAGAAATATTTTTGCCTCTCCACAGCATACCCAATTTAAGAATTTTGAATTTAGATTTTGCCAGTGTATATTCTAGTAAATCTTGCTTTCATTTCATTATCCCTTCTCCTATGATGGTGTTCCAATTTAAAAAAAAAAACCCTCTCAAAATTTAAAAGCCACACCAAAAGACAAATTTTTTAATTGGACAACAGCAATCAATAGTCAATAATTAACATAAATGGCATATTGCAATTTGTGAACCCAAGTATAATAGTCGTGCATAGTGCACTGCAGCTCATTCAACAGTGTCAACTGGCCGTTTTCTTGTGGAATTAAGTTGTTCGGCATTCTTGGTGAGAACTGGTTATGTTTACAGGACTTAGACCAGTTTCTCCTTACACAGGGAGTAAAAAGGATGGAGGAACCTTGTGGCAATAAGCAGTTCATGAATTTGTAATGTATGGCTAGAGCTGGATGCTTATTTTTTCGAAGTGCTCCATTGTATGACCTCTGGACAAGGGTTTCTATTTGCAGCTTCACTGAAGCAATCGACTAAAGCAGTCTCTATGGGCAGTGTTCCTATTGGATATGCTGAAGCGTTTTAGCTGTATGATTTACTTTCTTTTTCAATTTAACTTGTTTCTATCCCAAACTTTGTTTTATTTTGAGAATGCCAAATCTCTTCATATGTATCTTTCTTATCCATCTGTAAGTTCCACTGTCATCCAGAAAAAGTAAATAAATAAAAACAAAAGACTGCTTTTTTTAAAGAAAGTAACAATAAAAAAACATTTTGATCAGATTTTGGGTTACAGCCCAAATAATTAAATATTTTGAATTGATTTGGGGCAGCACAACTGGGCTCAATAAAACTTTTGGGTTTTCAGTAACAAAAAAGTTTTCTCAAGAACAGATACTGAATACGCCCTCTGTTGTTTGTGTTAAATTTAAATATTTTATAGTTACAATTCTTTTTTTATAAAACCAAAATTTAAGCTTAGTCTAAGAAATAAACCAAAGTGACTGTTTGGAGACATTCTACTTTCTCATGATTTATGTGTAGTCTATCAACCTGATAGGCGTCCATTGCTTACTTATTCTAGGAGTATCACGTTAGAACATATTCCTTGTCAACCTCCACTTCAGCAGGGAGAGTAGTTGCAGCATGAGGGAGCGGAGAGCACAGAGCTGCAACATGGAGAATGAGGTTACAGTTATTCCTAGATCATGTTGGCACTTAATAGTAGGATGTTATTTGGAGGGGATAGTTATTATTTTTATTGTCTATGTATCTGAAGGTAGTTATGATGTACAGACTCACTTTTGATTAATCAGAGTTCTATTTGCAGAGATTCTCCCGGTCGTGAGAGCTATTGAATGAGATACTTGCTTAGTTCCCTCTAATAGAACTTTGGATCAAAGACTTACCTATATATGTGGATCTAGCCTTTTCGTATTCAAAAGAAATATACCAATTAACCTCATTTAATCTGGGGTTGGCTAAATATTTCAGAAAGAAAACATTGCAGAATATGTAAAAATTTTAGACAAAATATCTTCTATGAAAGAACAACTATAGGGCGTGTACTTGCCTTGTATATTAACGCCTGCCTCAGTGTGTTTGGTAAATGTTCCTCCGCCCTGCATTCTCAAAAGTTTCATGGAATTAACAGCGATCAAATAATCATATTGAAAAATGGAATTGCCATTGATAGCTGAAACATATCAGGGATAACAAAAAATAATTGACTAAGAAATTTTCAGATTAAATTCTTAATTTGATCCCTAAAAAGTATCAGTCCTAAGTTTCCCCTAATATATATATATATATAATGTACAGTTGATTCCTCAATTTTCTTGATTTTGGTGCAGCATAGTCCTTTTTTGATCTAACAATGAACTGTATTGATTCCAAATAAATAAAATTCGGATTAAACTATAAACTACTCTCTACTCAGGACATTCTAATCAGTGATATTTTTCAGGCACTAAAATGTGATTTAGTCAAATTAAAATAACTACCTGATAACGTGGGAAATAGCCATGGTTGCATCATCCACCGTTACACAAAAATTGTAAACAGGCTGACCGTTGCTTCTCATGATCACAAAATCTCCAAGGGTATCCAAATTCCAACTAACCTTCAAGACACTACCAAAGTTAATACCTAGTCAGAGTTCTACTAATAGACATGTCAGAAATTTGTCCTTCTCTTTCTATCATAATTTGTCTACACAACAGTAAAGACTAGCACTTTTTTTCATGTATGAGAATCCAATTTTTTAAGACAGTCTGAAACCTCACTTCTAGGGGAAAAACGTGCAAAATATAAGATAAAGTATTATGGAAAATTATGCAATGGGGCATACCAATATCAAAATACAAAAGGAAAAAAATCAGCAACCACACAAATCAGATGCACCAATAAGTGTTATCATTTGCCTGTTTTAAAGTTGGCAATCCATAATTCATCAACACAAGCATAGAATTTGGCATTTAGTTTAACGGAACTAATAAGTAGACAATGATGAAAAATGGATGACAAAACTCACTTCACCTCTGATGAGATCATTAATTTTTAAACTTCCTTTTGGAACACGAAATCGGTATGTGTAAGGGATCCCCTTTTCCAGCTCTTCTTGCACTTCCTCGTCACTTGCACTGGCCCATTTACCAGTGTATACCGGAGGCAGTTGCTGTAGTTTAGCAATCTCCTTCATTTTTTCTAATTCCTGATAAGATCAACATAAATCAAGAAGTATTCATGGGGCAATTGCAATCAAGCAATCAAGCATCAACAAATTGCAGAATACAAAAATAGCAAACTTCTAAGCCATGGCTTCAAAATCCCTTACTATCATCTCAATTACCAGTTGGTGCTTAAAAGCAAACAAGAAACCTGCTTTCACCAGAAAGTTATAAATCAACTTTATAAATCAACTGATATTACAACCATGTTCATGGAAGCAAAAGGTGTGTTTGGGTTAATATAGAAAACAATTGTCATAAAGTCAATCAACAAGATACTTGGTCAAATCTCAAAATATCCCCTTATCTTTACTCATCTAACTATGCATCATCCAACATGTCATGATTTTCAAATATTAATCAAACTCCAATTTCTTCACCCTCCTCATCTGTTTGCCAATCAGTTTCTTCTCAAACACCTAAATCAAGTTTGCAAACCTAAATATTTACCAACATTACAACTCTTCTGAACCAACTCATAATTCTTCCCCAAGTCCCAAAATATTGATAATTATGCAAAATAATTCCTTGATTTGAAATTTGACTCTCCTTAGTGATAGCCACTTCAAGAAACACCTCTCAATTGAAATCACTTGGTGTAAAAGAAACACCCACCCCCCAAGAAATGAATCTCCTTATTGCTTTGATTTCTTCACCCAACAACATTCTTCCTCAGATTGATATAAAGCTCACTTTATTGCTCAAGCCTTCTCTCAACATGGCATCCAAATGTACTCTCCAGTCTCCTGAAGTCAAAAACCCCCCAGCAATAAAAATTCTTCTCTTAGATTACCATACAAATAGGTTCTTTGGAAGCCAAACTTGAAGAATGTTTTTTCTTCACCGAATTCTTACAAGGAGTTATTCATTGGAAGTTTGCTCGTTGTGTTTGCAAGATCCAAGAAACTCCTTATGGCTTCAAGCAAGCTCCACAAGCTTGACTTCATAATTTTGAAACATATACTCGATCCCTTGGATTTACAGGTAAAATATCAGATTCTTCTATGTCTGTTTACTACCATAGTAATGAAATGGCTGCAATAATTTTATACTTTGATGATACTTGTAACTATACATATAGTTTATTTATTAATGAAAATCATCCTTCTCATAAATTTTATTATTTTATAAAAAAAAATGGGGAATCAACTGAAATCTAATGATATTTCTGAAAGTCCATTGTTAATCACTTGTTTAAGTTAAATCCAACAAGTCAAAGTGCACTAAACAGATATTTTGAAACACAAGATGAGTTCCCACATAAAATGTGACAAGAAAAAGTTCAGCATTGCCATGAAAAAAGATTCGCAGCTAGAAGTCGAATACCTCATTAGAGCAGAAGCAGCGAAAGACATCACCAGACTGCAAAAGTTTATCAGCATAATGTTGGTACAAAGAATTCCTCTCAGACTGCCTATATGGTCCATAATCTCCACCAACACCAGGACCTGAAAGGTTCACATCCTAGAATTATGAATAAATGTCCACTAAGAGAGCTTTGAGAGGGGGGAGTTCTACTAAGAGAGATACCAAACATGGTACGAACTCAAGTAGATCCAGGAACTGGTACATTCCAAATTAAGAGTGAACTATGTATTGCAGCATATACCTTCATCCCAATCAAGACCAAGCCAAGAAAGATCTTTCAACATGGCTTCCTCAGACTCCTTTGTAGACCTCTCCAAGTCAGTATCTTCAATTCTCAAAACAAACTTCCCGCCTTTGGACCTGAAAACACATCAGAACAATGCGGGGAAAGGAAAAAGAGGAAAAAGAAGGGGGGGGGAAAAACCGACACTAAATCCAACCTAGCAAACAAGTAATTAAACAAGGCTGTTCGCGCCCCACCAACATGAAGGTTCCCAGTAGGTGAAGGTGCAAATCGAACGCGAACTGCTCCTTCGGCTCTCTGCTCAGGAACAGAAAAGGCAGAGACTGAAAAGCTCCTTCGGAAGTGGATGACTCTTCGCCTGTAAAAGAGATTAGACTGATGTAGAATCGGAGGCGCAATCTCAAAGGGAAAAGCCCTTATCTTTGTCCATGGTGATCCTCCCAAGATCGCCATGCGCATGCTCCGCTGATGTGCAGAAACAGGACCAAATCAAACATTGATGATAGCCATGAGAGAAAGAACGAGATTCAAAAGAACATAATCAGAATTCATGTAATGGCAAAAGACCAACCAACCTGCTAGACAACGGCGTTCTATACCGCGAGAAGGGGCGCGGGATGTTGAAGCTTGCACTATCTGAACAGACCGAGGGCTAAAACGATAAGAGGAAAATGGAAATCGGTGGAATCACCCGGGGAAGAATGCAACTATAGCTTGCCAGACAAATATTATTATTAATATTATTGCCATTGCTGCTTAATACTCAATTCGCTTAAAAATTTTTATTTTTAATGATATTTTTGCAGATTAGAAATATATAAATGCTAAAATATACTAAATTCTTAGGACAATTGTATATAGAGTCAAAAAATAAAAATAGAGCCCAATAAAATGCCCATTTAAACCTGTTTTTTAAAGGTTTGAATTAAAAAAGTAATTTTTTTTAAAAAAATTGAGCTTTAAAATCTGATCCTAATAAACTATAAAAAAAAGGCTCAAGCAATTTTTTAAACTCGTTTTACTTTTAATCCTAAAAAATAAAATATTTTTTAAATTTTTTAAATAGAATTTAAATTTTAGAATATAAGTTTAAACTTTAATATAAAAATTTATATTATTTATTTTTAATTTTTGAATATTATAACTTATATTTAAAAAATTATAAATTATTATAATTGAAAATTATAATTTTTAAAAATTTAAAAAACAAACAAACTTATAAGTCTAGCCTTGACCCCTGTTAAAATAGTTGGGTTCAGAAAATGATAATTTTTCTTAAGCTATTAAAAGCTAAGTCCATAAAAATTAGGATCACTCGTTTCTCATTTCATTACATATGACCTCATTTTTTTAAAGTCCACAATTAACTTTGATAACATTTTATTTAAAGATTCTACCGAACAAGATTAATTGCAGGCTTTAACAATAAGAGAAAAATGGAGTGCGACGTGAAGAATGCAACCTAAAAAGGATTAAAGATTTAAAATTTACTCCTTTTTTTTTGGAATGAAAAGCTGCAATGTTCTCCTTAAATATATTTTTTTAAAGAGCAATATTTTTCCTATATTAATTGTCCATTAATTTGACTGTTAAATAATCTAAAAAATTATAAAAAATAACGCAAAAAATTATAGAAAAATGATCCAAAAGATTAGATAAAAGGACCTTAATAAAAAAAATTAATATTAATTAAGTCTCTTAAATTACGAATAAATTATAATGGATTGATATTATTTCTTACCCATATAAAAAAAAACAAAATATCATTTCAATCAATCATTTTGACTGGCTACTAAGGTATTGTTTGGGAGGTTTTTGGGATAGAATGAAATAGAGTAAAATGGTTAAAAATTTTATATCATTATCTGAAATAATGTTTTAAAAAATGAGTGGAATGGCTTGGAATGACTTTTCAAGTCATCTTTAGCCATCCTAAATCCAATTTTTCCTACCCTAATTTGGGGGTTGAGAATATAATGGTTTTATATAAATAACATTTTTACATAATTATTCCCATCTTTCTCATCTCTCCTCACTCTTTCACTCCATTTCATCTTAAAATTGAAAAACATAATTATAGCTAACTCAAACATATTATTCCCTCTATTTAAAAATATAAAATATTTTTTGAGGAGTTGGATATTTAAAAATGCAAGGCTTTTTTAGTTTTTCAAGATGTAATTATTGCCTTTTTTTTAAAATGCTCCTATTGATAATAACTTTATATTTATTTTAGAGTGTTTAATAAGAATAAATATAAAAGAGATGGTTAGTTAAAAAGTAGGTAACTACTTTAATAAAAAATGAGTTTCAGTTAGAAATGCCTTATATTTTTGAACGAAGAAAGTAATTTTATAATAATTCTTAAACAATGATTAAATAAATAATTCATTCCTCTAATATAACTCTCAAATAATGAAATATTCCATTCCACTCCCCTATGTTCCAGTAATACTTTAATATTTGAGAATTTAGATATTATTATTATTTAAAAATCTTCGCACATAATTTACAAGTTAATTTTTCAGATATACAAATTTATGAAGAAGAACTTATTAATTTTAGAAAAAGACTTATAATTTATTACACCATTTTAATTTACAAATTATGTATAAATTTCAAAAAAAAAACTTGTTGCATTGTTAATATTTAAAAAATTATGTATAAATTTTGGATGAATAATTATAAATAATAATATTTAAATTATTAAATATTAAATTGTTTAAATATTTTTACAGGATTTTATGAAAATAAATAATATTTTTTTTAATTAATTAGTGACAGTGTTGGTGATTTGGCACCCGGTAGTTAATCAAAGTGTTGGTTAAAATGATATTTTCATATTTTATATGGGTATAAAATAACATTAATATATTGAAATTTATTTATAATTTAAAGGACTTACTTGGCATTAATTTTCTTATAAGATTTTTTTATATAATTTTTGGGTCCTTTTCTATAAATTTCTAAGTCCTTCTCTATAATTTCTTAGATCAACTAAAAATCAAATCAACAAATATTTACATAGGGACAATATTGCTTCTTAAAAAAATATATTTAGGAGAGATATTATCCCACGCTTCACTATATGATATCCCCTGCTTTTAAAAAAAAGTTTTGGTATAAATTAGGACTTCAACCAAAAAAAATGTCACTTTACTTGCTTAAAAAATTTAATTATCTTTATTAATTAATATGATATAAATATTAGTATGAAAAATATAACTAATGGAAATATGAGATGGATACTTTGTTATTTATATAAGGCTATCGTGCTCCTTCAAGATTCAAGAATAGGGTTAAATGTTGGATCATATGTTTTGATGATTACAAAACTAAAAAAAGAGGTATTTATTATGTGTGCAGATATAAATAATTATAGATGAAAACAAAATTTCAAGAGCATAAAGAATCAAGAGAAGATGAAGATGTTTATAATAAGTTATTTAAATTCTCTTAGATTCAATGTGAAAACTTTGAGAGCTTAATCATTTTTTATAATCATTAAAATGAATGCATCTATGTCTCATTTATAAGCATTAAGACTCATCTAAGTGTATTAAAGCTTACAAACAATGTCTTTTTTGTTTGTTAAAATTCATAATGGCTAATTGCAGTATGGTACAGAATCATGCGTGATTCTGCAAGTCACTTATGAGAATCTATAGGTTAGGCACACTGACTAAAGAATCACATCAGAGTCAAGAAGTAATTCACATGTAATTTGTCACTTGTGTTATGTGATGCCTTAAGTATTGCTTCTATATGTAAAATCATGGTTGAGAGCCATTGTTGTCTACACAAGTTTTAGCAACTATGTTTCATTACTTTGTATCAAAATGCAGTTTCATGTGTGAGTCTGATTGTAGCCACGCGTGATTTGTCACCCATTGCACAATCATATTTTGCCTTATTAAGTCTTAAGACATCTCAAGACAAGTTCAATTTGTTCACTTGTATGATCATTGATTCACAAATCCATATTTCTTGGTCATGCAAAATCTCGCTTGAGTTATATGCAGTTTCACACGTGAGAATAAACCCAGACTAGCTTGTGCATTATTACCTGCAATTTCAGGCATGAATGAATATGTGATCCACGCGTGATTTGTCATCCCGTATAGAGTAAGTCTGAATTTGGTTATTTCATGTGTGATAACCTTTTGATTCTACACAAGTTTTGTTCACAAGAATTGGCTTTAGCATTCTTTCAACCATTTCACACATGAGATGAAAGAGGTTTCAATATAATTTATCATACATAATTGATGTTGGCTTCTTATGTGCAAAACCACAGGTGAAAACTAAAGGTTTGCTCACAAGTTTTAGCACACAGAAATGAATGCATATTCAAAGATGTAAAACAATGCGTGAGAGCAAAGAGGTTCCACATGAGTTTTAGCACACAAAACTGAATGCTTATTCATAAGTGCAAAACCACGCGTAAGTGTTTATAGAGTTCACACGTGATTGATCACATATACATATCTAGAACAAGCCAAGTGCAATTTCACGAGTGATTCTGCTTGTCACTCACAAGAAATTGCACCAATGGATAGAATCATTGTTTTAGCGGTTTATCAAATACCAAAACCATATATATGATTCATTTTGAGCCAAAACTTAAAAAAAAAAGATCCTTAAGCAAACTAATATTTATTTGAGCATTTGAAAAGCTTTCAAATTATGCTTTTACATCTTGCATTCATTCATTATTTTTTAAAAGAATTGTGAAAAGTTCTCACAAGTTTATAAGTTTTCAATTGTAATTCCATCTACTCTTTAAGAGAGTTTTCTGCAAAAACTTATTTTAATCTTCAGAAATCTTGAAAAGGTATTTTTTCAAGTATTTGTAATAACTTGCTAGATTGTAGCAAAGTTTGTTGAGTTATTCAAGATAAGTTAAGTCTTGAGAGTTGTACTGTGGTGGCAAGCACCCATTAAAGCTTGTGAACTTAGTTGAAAATCTCAAGTGTGATCTTAAGGACTAAATATAGGCCAAGTTTGAGGTTGAACTAATATAAATTTTGAGTGTCTCATCTTCTTCCTTCACACTAAAATTCTTCACTCTTTTAAGTTTTCAAAAGTTTTTAAGTGTCACCCAATTCACCCCCTCTTAGGTGCTGGCCTATCATAACATTAAAGACCATTTTCCCCACTAACCCTTTTTATGAGGAACATTAGACACCCTGTATTGAGAAGTGGAATAATATCCCCCTAAGTAATTTTTTTAAGAGCAAAATTATTCTTCTATCAGAGACCTATCATCTTCTCCATTATATGTTAATATAAAATAGTTGTGAAACTCACATACAGTGTTATCAAGGTATTTTGACTCATTTTGATCATCTGACGAGGGCCAAAAGGGTTGGAAGTGCAGTGGCTAGAACCAGGCTTGATTTTAGAGGTGAAACAGTAGTAAAATGGATCAAAATGCCTTGTCACTATAAGAGCCCTATGATTATTTTATATTAGCAGATAATAGAGAATATGATAAGTCTTTGACGGAAGGGCGATTTTGTTTATTAAAAATTATTTAAGGAGGACATTGATTTACCCTTCAATATAGGGTGCCCAGTGCTCCGCTTATGAAAAAATGATCTTTAACCCTTTAAGAATATCATTTAAACTATATAAAAATGAAATATTGTTTTAGCTTGGCTGGGTTTAAAATACCTTGACATATAAAAAAGCAGATATAACTAAGTCTAACTCT